AAGCCTTTTGATCTTTGGGTTTTTGTTGGGAGGTTTTGAACATCTGACTTAATCTGCTCATTTTTTTTTTTACTTCTTAAAGACTTGTGTAATTCTGTATTTCTAGATCAGCCTCCAGTCTTAGATTGTCCTAGCAGCTGGCGTACAGCTGTGTAGTGGTATCTCACAGTCCAAGACTAAGTTCCTCACATCTCTCAGCTTTGATTTTTCTTTCTATTGTTCTCTATTGTTGATGGCTATTCTAATCTGCTGCCTTGTTCTAACTCAGGTTTTTTTGTTGTTTTTTTTTTTTGTTTTTTGTTTGTTTGTTTGTTTGTTTGTTTTTAATGAATATCCTAACTTTTGCCACAACCTGCAATGGCTGGCGTGTGGTGTGTGTTTATTGTCATTTCTCTCAAGGTATTGTTCTAAGTGTATCATTTGAGCATTGGCTGTTTTAAAATGTATTAATTCACATGTTGGTAAAGTTTTCTGTTTTCTTTTTTGTATGGATTTCTAGTTTCACTTCACTGTGATCAAAATGGACAGTTGATATGACTTCAGTCTTCAACTTATTAAAATGTATTTTTATAATCCAAAATATGACCTATCCTAGGGAATACTCTGAGAGAAAGGTGTGTGTTCCATTATTAAATGAGGTTCTCCATACATATCTACTGGCTGAACTGGCCACTAGCACCACCCTAGGACCTGTCTACTTAATATTCTTTATTGCAAAAAAAATCCATTATTCAAGGTGGAGCATCAGATCCCTTTCTCCTTATTTTCTATTTTACCCACCAATCTATCAATGTGTGCTTTGTATCTATTCACTCTGTTGCTAATGTTTACAGCTTAAATCTCTAGAAAAGGGACCCTTTTATCCTTCTGTAACATCCTTTACCTCTTACAACAGCTGTATGATATATATGTGTGTGTGCGCGTGTGCATGTGCGTGGCTACTCTCGCTGCCTTCCACAACATCCTCTCCTTTTCAGTCTTCGTATGTCCTTCCATGTACTGAGATCCCAGATCCATTGGTGGCACACTTACCTAGACGCACAAAACCCTGGCTTTGACCTCCAGCACCACAAGCACACCTGTCATTCCAGCACTGCAGGGCAGAAACAAATTCAAGGTCATCCTGGCTACAGTGAGTTTGAGGCCAGCCTCACATATCAGACCTTGTCAAAATAGAGTTTAAAAATAATGGGAAATAAATAATCTCTGAGTCACTATCTAAATGGTCCTAAAGTATATGAACAGGAAAATATACTCAAATAAATAAATATACTCAAAATTTTAAAGGAAAATAAACCTGATTAAAATAGCTAAAAGTAATTGTAAAAATAAAGTAATATAAAATATAAAGTGAAACTGTTGTAGAAAGCATAGTTTGCTCCTACTGTTTCACTGCCATGGGTGATATCTGAGTTCCAGTCTTGTTCACTTTATGCAGCGAAGCTTCACAGGAACGTCTTCTGTTTTAGTTACGTGAGCCAGTGATCTTAGCTCCCTCTGCTGTCCGTATCTAGTACTGCAGAACCTCCGCTACTGTGACAAGCTGGTTTAGTTATTTGTTCTTTTGTGTCCCAGCTACCCAGTGGAGGAAAAATATCTGGAGCTCTCTACTGTGCCATCTTCTGAAGTCATGCATGATCTTGCCATTCCTTTCATGTTTACTATCCACTCAGTTGTCTTTTCTGCGAGGATTTGCACATGGCCCTGGCATTTGAATCCTGGTCCTAGAGATAGATTCAGGTGACCGAGCTTAGGACAAATGCACGTAACCCACTGAGCCATCTTGCAGTGTTTACCAAACTCAGTAATAAACTACTACACTGTTTTACCAATGTGGATGCATTGGTTCACACATTCATGGTCAATGTATGGAACCCAAACCTTTAACAGACATTAAAGTGAGTGTTGTAAACTTTACTCATGGGGAGTATGCAGTGGCACATTTTCTTCTTTAGTTTTCTCATTGCAGTAAAACATAAATAAGTTATCATTTAACCATATATCAGTAGTGACTAACACTAAATATGTTCACGTGCCATCTTCTAACCATTATTATTTATCCAAAAGTTTCCACTGCCCCCAACAAACTAAATACATTAAACATAATTTCCCTTTCTCTCCCCCCTCCAGCCACTGATCTCTGTTCTGCCTTCGGTCCCAAGGAATCTACCTATTCTAGGACTTAATATACATGGAATAAAACATATTTACTTCTGTGTTGGACTGGTTTTACTACACAGTCTTCCCATGCTTGTGCACACATAAAACTTTTGTTTCTTTTTATATTGGATATATCTCCAGTAAAATATAAATACATCTTGTTTTTTAGCTGTGGTCAATTAACAAAATTGGTTTTAGGATAATTTCCTACTTATCTTTAACCATCAACTTGATACAATTTAAAGTCATCTGAGAAGGAAGTCTCAAATAAAGATTACCCACATCAGACTGGGCTGTGGGGATGTCTGTGGGAGATGTCTTGGATGCCAACTGATGTGAGGGGTCCCAGTCTACTGTGGGCGGCACCATTCCTATGCAGGTGGCTGTATAAGAAAGCAATGCAAGAGCAGTGTTCCTTCATAGTTTCTGTTCCAACTTTGTGCTCAAGTTTCTACCTTGACTCCGTCCTCAGCAATAGATTGTGATCCAGAAGTCCAAGGAGCCCTTTTTCCCTCTGTTTGATCAGTGTTTTTATCACAAGCTTAGTAAAACCAGTCCAACACAGAAGCAACTATGTTTTGTTCCATGTACATTAAGTCCTAGAATAGGTAGATTCCTTGGGACCGAAGGCAGAGCAGAGACCAGCATAAGAAAAAAGAGAAGAAATACAGCTTGCAGTGGATTCTCTGTCACACAGAAAATCTGTTTAATTCTTCTGGAAAACATCAATCTGTTTTCCACTGTGGCTGCTCCATTTTATACTATCACCAGCAATGCACGGTGCTCCAATTTCTCCTCATCAATACTTGGGGTTTTCCTTTCCTTTCTTTTTATAACCATTATGTAAGTATTAAGTGATCATTGTAGTTCTGGTTTGCATGCTCCCTAATGGGTGTGGAGTTGAATGCATTCCTATTTGTTCAGTAGCCAGGTGTTCTGTTTGTTTTGTTTTAATTTTAAGTATAGGGTCCCCAACTCTTCTGAGTCTGAGGATGAGCCTCTTGTCTTCATTTCCCAAATTCTGGGATTAAAATTGTGTGTCATGGCCCATTTTACCAGATGTCTATTTCTCTGGTACGATGCCTATTCAAGCTCAGTCTTCTGCTTGTCTTTGTTTTCCCTTTGTTTGAACACAGAGCCTGGCACGTACAGGATATTAAAAGCCAGCCCTCTGCCACTACAGCATGTCTCCAGCATTGGTCCAGTTCTGGGTTGCTGATGTTTGAGAGTACCTAGACATCTCAGACACAAATTCCTTATGGAAGAGACTTGTATATTTGTTTGGTTGGTTGGTTGGCTGGTTTTTTGACAGTCTCAATGTGTAGCCCAGACTGGCTTCAAGATTGTTAAGAAGTCCAACTTAGGGGCTGGGCATGGTGATGCATGCCTTAAGTCTCAGCATTTGGAAAGCAGAGGCAGGCAGATCTCTGTGATTTTGAGGCCAATTTGGTCTACATGAGACTCTAACTCAACACACCCCCAAAAAGTCCAAGCTCACTTCAAACTCATGATTCTTATGCCCCAGACTGCCAATTACAAGGATTATAGGCATGTGCTATATGCCCACCTCAGAGATATTACTTATAAAAGTTTTATTTCATTCTACAGGTTCTGTCTACATTGTTCATTTTGCTTTCTTGGTAGTATCCTTTGATTCACAAAAGATTGTATTCTGTAGTTTCAAGAGTTCAATTAAAGGGCCTAAGTACACCAAGCAACCAAATTTTAATTAAATTTAATGAATTTTAATAAAGTTCAATTTTATCATTAAAAAAACCTATTATTATGACTGTTGTTGTTGTTGTTGTTTGTAAGCATCCTGTTGGGAGAGTGTTGTTTGTAAGCATCCTGTTGGGAGAGTGCATTGCCACAGTGCACATATGAGATCAAAGGACAATTTTGTGGAATTGCTCCCCTCTTCCCATCTTCAGGGATTCCAAAATTGAACTCAGGTCACCAGGCTTATACATCAAGTGTTTTACCCACTGAGCCACCTCTCTGGACATTTAATCTTTTTTTTTGTTGTTGTTGCCTACACTTTTAGTGTCATATCTTTGGGGTTGGGGTAGGGGGAAGCAAATCTAGTGTTGCCAGGATCTTTGACAGTGTTTTTCTCCGAGAGTCGTAACATTTACTAGCCTTGCACTCATAAAGTCTGAAGAGAAACACCAGTTTTGATAGAGCTTTAGCTGGCAACAGCTCCCCCCCAAAAATTTTTTGAACAGTCTCTTCAGTGCCTAGATTCTTTTGGTTAATGATTTGTTAAAAATGGGGTGCTCACCAATAAAAACAGTTCCAACTTTGCTCACAGAGTAAAGAAACATCTGTGATGTGATTAATTACTTTTTAATTTCTCTGAATCTACCTCAATTGTTTAGTCTAGATTCTAGAATATTAAGTTTCTTAAAGTTGGTTATGTATGCACATCAAACTATCTCTTGCCTTGTAAACATTCCAGTTGTGTATAAGGCACACACACATAAGGAAGGGGCGGGGTAAAGAAGAGGAGCGTCAGAGCACAGAGTCCACACAGTCTCCTCGTGCAGTGAGCCCCAAGATGAGCCTCGAGCTCCTTTTCCTTTGTGTTCCTTACTGTACATGCAAGGGCTTTTTCCTAGTGTGTACACCAAAGATATTTCATACTTAACTTCCCAGTGATTGCTGAGAGAAGAGTGACTTTAAACAATAATATTAAAAGAGCTTCCCACTAAAATACTACCTTCACACAGACTCTGACTACACTATGAACATGCATTTATAGTGAGAGAGTGAGCCTCTCTCGCATAACCAAACACCACCTTCTGAAACTTGAGCAGAGGGGTATTTCATTTAACACCTACCGACTTTGCGTGTTCAATCCATTAAGATGACTCTCTCTGAGCTCAGACACTAACGACAAAACCATCTGTAAAACAGAATCAGCTGCAGGTCAGCTCATATGCCACACGACTGATTACCTCATCTGCATTTCTCTTGCTGTGAGTGACACATCCCTCACCATTTCCTCCCCAACTCTCTGAAAGGAAGGCAGCGTCACATCACACTGGCTGCCATGTGGGTTTCTACACTGAATGTCTAGGATTCTGCTGAAGCAATGGATATACAGGTCATCAACATCCTAGAATTAACACCAACGCCACAGAAAATTAAAACATATTGGAGTTTACTTATTTCCTTCCTTTTTAGGTTCCTTATTTTTAAAAAATGCTTTTTATGTGTATGACTTTCAAAACATCGAAATGGCTGATAACCACCAAAGATCTCATTTTTAAAAGAGTATAATGTGTGTGGGTGCATATGCCACATGCACAGATGGAAGCAAGAGGACAGCTCTGTGGAGCTGGTTCTTTCTTCCGTCTTTCTGTGGGATCACACTCGAGTCACTGTCCTTTCATGGCAAGCACTGTTACTCACTGGACCATCTTAAATCCCTTCAGTCAACTGTCTGCTTTGCTTCATCATAAAATTCAGTGGGGTCATTTTAGATATGAGATCTGCTCTGAAGCCCAGGCTGTATTTATATTGGTTAAGAGATGCTCTTCTCAGAAATCTGAGTGAGAGGGATGTTGTGAGAGTCTGAGAGCACCTCACATCTTACAGTACAACCAATTTAAACTTATCCCCCGACCAGCTTACAAATGAAATTCAGACTATGGTTATTTTACTTGGCTTTGACAATTACTAGGGGCTACCCCAATCTACTTTTCTAACTGCTGGCCTGGCTACCTCCCTGGAGGTGTGTTCCAAATGCTTGCTGTTTCTCCTGGCCATGTGCTCATGGTAGATCCCCTCTCATGGCACTTCCTCCTCTCCTCCTCATTCTTCCTTTCTTCCTCTCTTCTCCACCCACAACCAGGTAACTCAAAATTCACCAACCTCTAATCCCTCCAGTAACTGGCTGTAGCCAGTTTTATTTAGCCAATAACAAGGTTTGCACAACAAAAGCTGGTGTGAGAATTCACTCATAGGCCTAGACCTTCGGGTGCAGAATTTAGCATCACAGTACAAAGCAAAAGACCAGACCTCAACACATCTTCTTTGCTGTCAGTCGCAAGTCTACCCCAGGTGAAAATCAGACAAAAGTTCAATAACTCCCTGAAGGAGGGGAACATCCCATTTGCCCTTCACATAATTGGTGAGAATTCCAATACTAATAAAGTTAGATACTCACATTTTTAAGCAAACTAGGATAGTAATCAATAGACTCATATCCAAGACTTTTGGTAAAAAGACAAACTTCTTTCATGTCGAATCTGAATGTGGAAAGTACATGAGATAACAAACCCTAGAAAATAAACAAAGAGAAAAGTCAACTTCTCCCAAGCAGAAGGACAACTGGACAAAACACCTGCTCCAGGGCCCCAAGCACAGAGCTCCAAGCTATGTTAGAATAGTATAGCTGGAAACCTGAGCCAGGAGACCCAGCCCAGGACCTCAACTTAGACAAGTTTATAGAGCTGCTTTAGTAACTTAGTGGAAGGAAGCTACTTCAACCTCTTAAACCACAACAGAACCCAGAGACACAGCCATCATTATTGATAGAAATGAACATGCTGAAGGAGAAAAGCCAGAAACTTACACGGTGTGAGTGGGTTTCTGGAACTTGTACTGCAAAGGCTCCTTCCTAAAAGGAGCACTGACTACTGAGAGCTACTCGTGAGCTACTGCTGCTTTTCCTTCTGTTCAAACTTGTGCTAAGAACAGAAAGTAAATAAGCTGACCACATTGCTCATACCACACAGAAGCATGTGACGGCCTCAGCAAGAAAGCAAGGAACATTGAAGCTGGACCCTACACGGGCGCCATTGTGGTACTGTAGACAGAGAAGACCTAGCCATATATCAAAGCCATATGGAGCTGTCCCAGGTCTGAATCAGGCTGAGGAGGCCAGTCAAACAGGTTTGGTTTAGACATTAGTAGCTCTGAGTTTAGTATGAAAAAGCCAGGAGGGAAGGAGGGCAGCACTGGAGACCCTGTCCTCCAATACTAATATAGAAAGCACTTTGTATGCAGAAGCTGCTGCACCTGCTTCACAGATCCATACTCCAATCCTCACTCATGTAAATATGCTTATTGAACCTTCCTTATAGGTAAGGACTCTGAGTCACAGGTTAGGTGTTGTCCAAGGCTGGATTCCACCTACCTGGCAAATCTCCACAAAACCACTAGATGCTAATCAGAACGTTCTCAGTGTAGGCCCTTAATGCCCCCAGTCACTCTACTATGAAATCCAAATGTCTCTTCAGGGCCAAGAGCCCTGGTCCCACCTCTCTGAAAGAGAAGAGCAGAGCAAGCCTTCTGGTCCAAATAAGAGCTTTACTAGGAGGGTGTGTGTGTGTGTGTGTGTGTGTCTGTGTGTGTGTGTGTGTGTGTGTGTCAGCCCCTTGAGTTCTGAGTATGGGTTTGTGGGGAAAGCGGGCTAGCTTACATGTAGGATTGAATTCTAGTTGTCAGACCTGCATGGTAAGTGCATTTACCCCCTGAGCCATCTTTCTATTATATGTTTTAATCATGAGACTATTTTATAAAACAATGTTGCATGGTTTAACATCTGCCTGTTTCGTGTGTGATTCCCTGACATGAACTGCTATGAAGCGGCACAAAGATCCCGCCCCAGATTAAACAAGCAGAGGTCACAAAAGCAGTATACTGAGTCGTGCCCTGGGCTGACAAGCTCTTAAAATAAGCAAGCTTTAGTCTTGAAATATCTCATTTAAAATTAGACTTCAGGGGCTGGGGAGAGGGTTCAGAAGTTAAGAGCACTGGATGCTCTTCAAGAAGGCTCAGATTCAATTCCCAAAACCCACATGGTGTTTGACAACCATCTGTAACTCCAGTCCCAGGAGATTTAATGCAGTCTCTGGTCTCTCAAGTACTGGCATGCATGCAATGCCTGAAGTTAACATTAAAGTAAGACACTTAAACATACAAAATAAAAGTAAAACTTAAACTGCAAAATTAATTAAATTGGGTTGAGGATGTATCCCAGTGGCAGATTACAGATTAGAGAACCTGTCGATTCTCAGCACACTGCCACCTACTGGGAAGGGCTTTAAACACAGAACAATGAAAGGGAAGGCACTGGCTACCTACACTGAGAAGGAGCCCTCTGACTCCACCTGAGTGGATCCAATAACATGAGGGACTAACAGAGAACACAACCCAGTGTCTGCGAACAGAATATGGACAAATAAGCATGTACTGACAGTAAAGCAGTACACACACAACAGCCCAGCTCGTTTGAAAGCCCTTCAGAGGTGGGAGTACAGAAACTAACATGCCTACAACATTTCAAATGTGTGTGATCTCTTGCACATGAACCTGCCATAGCACACATGCAGAGGTCAGAGGACAGCTTCCCAGAGTCCTTGCTTTCCAGCAGCCACGTAGGTCCCAGGATCAAACTCAGATTATCAACATTGGTAGCAAGAGCCTTCACCTGCTGATGCACCTCACTAGCCCACATACCATGACTTTTGAGAAGAGATGTTTTATTTTTATATGTGTGAGTGGTTGCCTGTATGGATGTATGTGCGTAATGTGCACGCAGTATCCCTGAAGGTCAGAAGAGCGCATGAAATCCTTTAGAATTTGAGTTACATAGAAGGTTGTGAGCTATCATATGGGTGCTAGGAAATCAAACCTAGGTCTTCTGCACATGGTCTTAACCTCTGAGCTGGCTCGCCACAAAATGATTTTTAAGCCTTGTGTTGATTCATGAAGAGCACTGGGAAGGCTTCATCTAGAAAGGCGAGCTCTCGCAGGCATTTTAACTCAGTTTGGCAAACTTCCCCTCTTGTTTTCAGGTGTCCTGGTTCCTCCCTACCCTGCTGCTGCTGTCAGGGCAGCATGTGTGCTCCTGAGGAAATTGAAGAGGATCACAACCAGCATGGTCAAGGTAGAAAGAGGAGCTGTGGGTGGCTTGCTCAAAGAACTAATAGAGCCAAACTGTGGTGGATACTCCTGGACCAAGACAAAGCATATATTTTATGCTTTTTTAAAAAATTTCTTTGTCTGATCATTAAAATCTTTTAGAATATCCACCACTGTATTCTTCATTGATTATGTCTCTTTATTCATGTTTTTAAATAAACAAACAAAAAATCTTCTTGAAAACTACGATCTTTTATTCAATCATTCAACAAACACATTGAGAGTAGTATGTATTCCTCAGAAGCTGGTAGGATGAGAAACACACACACACACACACACACACACACACACACACACACACACTGACTGTGATGGACAGCCAGAGACAGGAACTTAAGTGCTCTAAGAGATAAGATGGTCCATCAGTGTCTGTGGAAACAGAAGGAAGGATGAACCTAACTCAGTTTTCTGAGCACTTCAGAATAACCGCATCTGAGCTGTCTCGAGGCAGCTCGGAAAGCAGGAAGTGTACATGAATGATGTGGGCCTGGATACAGCAAGGCTAACATGCCTGAGCAAGAGATGGTGATAGCACCGAACAAGCCATTAATGGCCAGGCACCATGGCTGCTGCCCTCACAGGTTCCTAAGCACCACACCTGGCCAAACTTAGCTTTCTAACTACTCATCTGGCTCTAATAAGTTCTTCTTTCTTCCAAGGAAGCCAACAACTCCTGCCTGTCTCTAGCTGCCAAAACTTACCCTTATCTCTCAAAACTCATCTTTTTCTGAGATTTCTGTCCTGCTCTCCCAGAGCCTCATGGGGTCCTGTTTGCACTTCTATCTAGGGGCCTGCAATGCTGTTTTAAACACACATTCCAGTCCACTTGGTACCCAAAAGCTTCAAAAAGAAGGGGCTGTCTTACCATCTCTTACCTTCCCCGGAGCAACTGCAAACTATTCTCACACTCATTCAAATTCAACAAAAAAAAAAGATTCTTTTATAACTCTTACAGGCTTTCTGTCAACCTTTTTACAAAAGAACAAGAGAAATTCTGTTTTTTTTCACAACTTGCTTTCTTTTCAGGTCATAATATACCAACAAAGCTAAAAGCATGATACTTCAAAGAGAATGACTCAGTTTGGTTACCTTGCCAGAGCCTCATACTGCTATAGACTTTATCCCACAGATAGCATGTCATTTTACAGCCCATGGTACCTGGAGCCTTCTGGAGTCTGAGGATACCCAGAAAGGACAGTGTAAGTAGCAACAAACATTACCACTATAGGAAGTCCTGGAAAATTCCAAAGCAAGCTCACTTGAATTTAAATCAGTTAAGAAGCTGATCTTCACATTTTGAAACTACTTTTCACAGGTTCATGTAATTGAATTACTTTGTCTTCCCCAGTGTACCTCTCGGATACATTAGAATGTTTGACCTCCCCTTTCCTGAGTACTTCTAGAAGTATCCAGACTGTTAACAAGTCTAGAGTGAGTTCTAGAGGTGGAGCTGTCCAATGCTAAGCAGATGAAACACCTGTGCCCCAAAGCTGAACTAGCCACTTCCCCTTTTGTATTTTTGCATATTTGTCTAAAATAATTTATGACATTATAGCAGAACTCTTATTTGGCTATCACTGATATTCCTAAATTAACTGAATCACCTGCAAGTGACTTCTAGTTTTCAACACTTGGATATGAGGCTGAAATTTGGGCTTCTCTTCTTGACAACATCATCATAAATTACCATGTCTTCCTGATGCCTCCCCAAGTTTACACAGATGATCCAAGCATAAAACTAGTGTATAAGTTTCACCTACATTTATTCCAGAAGAGAAAACATAGAAATGTTGCCTCCTCTCAAGTAAAATGCAGCAGCACACACTACAGAGACCAGGGAGGAGGTGTGTTGCACAACTTTTAAAAATGGATATCAGGATCCAGAGAGATGACTCAGAGGTTAAGAGCACTGGCTGCTCTTCCAGAAGGCCAAAGTTCCGTCCCTAGCACCCAGATGGCAACTCACAATGCTCTATAATTCAGTTCTAGGGGATCCAATGCCACCTTCTGACATGACAGCACTAGACACACAAGTGTCACAGAGACACAGATTCAAGCAAAACACTCAGACACATTAAATCTTAAAAATATTTTTTAAATGTGTGTCAGAGGTTTGCATAAATGGTAACACAAAAAAGGTTGTGTACTGTCTGGGTATAAACTGAAGTTATCAGTGACAGCCCAACATAAGGTTGATAATGAAACATCACAACTTTCCTAAAACAAAGCAAGAAGCACAGGACATGTGCTGAGGTAACAGAAAAACTCAATGACTAGACAGGCACACACAAGGTACAGTCACTGCCCGTGCCATGATTATTCTACTCTTGTCCATCCACAGCGTGAGAACAC